TAGCTAACATGTTGATTGACGTTATCCGTTAATGTTGTAATTGCAGCCTCAGTTACAAGAGCATTATTGTAATTAATCACAAGAACAACAGTCTTACCAATGGACTAAAATGACACATGATATGTGACTGACCTCTGTAGCTATCCTCTGATAGTCTGGTGCCTGGCGCCTCTTGCTGGTCCCCTGAGCTTCGCAATGCTCAGCACAGAAAGAGGGAATGGAGTCCCTGATCTTCTGCACGGACTGTGTAAAGTTTTGAATGCTCTTGTGGATGAAGACAGCATCAATGTTCTTCTTCTGGAGCAAACTGAACAGGATGTCAACATGTGGCATGATCATGTGAAATAAGTCCAAGAAAAATATAAAAGTGGAATCCTCCAGCAGTCGCAGAAATGCTCCTGCCTCTCGCTGTGTGGGGGAATCAAACTCTCCACCCTCTCTGATGGATCGCAAACACTGAATCAGATCATCTTTGTATTCGTATACAGTGTTCACTGCTCGACTGTGGAAGTTCCATCGTATTGCAGGGGATCTTGGGAGTCTGTGTGCAACCACACTGTCCAGCACGCTGGTTCTCTTGTGTGACCAGGAGAAGAAAGCAGCAAACCCACTCAAGTCAGAGAAGAAACCAGAGACACAAGGGATGCGAGATGTCACCTGAAACAGATTAGATTCAGATTTAATGCCATATATTTTAGCAAGAGTAGTACAACAGTGAGTGACCCTGGTTCGATGTAGAATAATGAACTGATTACAAAAAAAATCCATCTCTTTTTTATTACAAACATGTAAACACAAACATTGCTCCACATTAGTGTGGCCCTGTTACTCCTTTCCAGATAGCTACTGAGACAAATTAACATGTTGACATTGTCCAAGAGGAGAGCTGATGCCAGAGACGCTTCAGGGATTTTGAGTCATTGTGCGCAGATAGGTTAACGGCATTAAAATTTTTAATCAGATTAATCATGATGATTCATTTGGCAGTCACAGCACTAATATAGTCATATGATGGTCATCCCTCATTATAACAGTTGTAATAGTCTAACAGTCTTTAGATCTGATTCTCACTAGGTAATGATCAGACCATGACCATGCACTGAACTATGGTCAGTAATAAAACTGGACAGTGTGCAAAAGACAGGTGCTGGGGAGGGGCAAGTCAGAGTATAAAACTTACCCGTTGCATTATGAGGTTCAGCTGGTGTGCAAAGCAGTGAACATAGTGCGCGTTCTTGTACACCTCTTGCGCTTTCTTCTGCACCCCTCTGGTGGCTCTCCTCATCACATTGGCTCCATCATAGGCCTGGGCAACGAGTTTGAACTTCTGAGTGTCGGGTACAATGTCACTCAGCCTCTCCAGAAGTGCGGATGAAATTGAATCAGCACTAGCATGCTGCAGATGGATGAATTCAAAAAATCTCTCTAGCACATTGTTGGATTTATCTATATAACGCAGCAACAGCACCAGCTGGCACTGAGTGGAGATATCTGTTGTCTCGTCAGCTTGAATTGAGAGAAAATCTGCAGCCCTGACTTCATCCACAATATGCTCTCTTAACACAGAAATCATACAGTCCAGCAGCTCGTTCTGTACCGTCTTTGACGTCCCCTTGAACATCGTGGCAGTTTTCAAGCAGTGGCGGCTGCTGGTCTTTCAAGGAGGGGAAGCTCATTTTTCTGGCCTACATCATAATTGTGTTTGTTTATTTGTATGTAACAGAACAGAGTCGCCAAACACAACGGCAGTCGTTTTTAACAAAGACAAAAGTCGCTGAGGATCGGTAAAGTCTCTGGAGCAGTTAAGAGCAACGGAATGAATAACTTGGAAAATGCTCTGGTAGACGTTTTATTCTTCAAGATCGCTTATTCGCTTGTTTAGCTGTCAATCAAAAAAGGATTTCGCCTCAGACAGCTCATCCAATCATGGATGCAGAAGCTCAGCGTCCGCGAGAAAGTCGGGACCGCCCTCTCATCATAGAACTCCAGAGACGCTGAGCGTCCGATGGGCGGGACAAAGCCCAGCATTTATCCAATGAGCGTCTAGTTTCGCTGCTGGAACAACCCACTTTGAGCTTCCACATTGAAGTCAGCAGAAGCTGAGCGTCCGGCTGTGTGAAGCGCTGAGGCGCTGCGAGGATGAATGAGAACGAAGTTGTGCCGATTACCTGTGATTATCAGCTTCTTATCACAGTGTGATAAGAAGCTGATTCTGAACAAAAGATGAAGGCTTTCTAGCGCATATTTAGTTAATGAAATGAACACACAGCAGTACGTATTTCACCACTTTTTCTTTTTTTTGGGGGGTGACATTTTAAGGGAAGCTGAGCTTCCCTTGCAGTCTTAGAGCAATCGCCACTGTTTTCAAGTGCTCCTCCAGGACAGAGTCAAGTGTCGCCACAAGATCCACTAGGCCCCTGAATATTCCCGGGTTTTCTGATCCCTCTGACTCGTCGTGCTCGCGTAAAGCCAGCTCAAAAGCACCACAAAACTTCACACATATATTTCCTGACTCCTATTCTGTAGCTGTCATCCAATTGAGTGGCAATGTTAACTCTGCCGAACGTAGCTAGCTTCATTACATTTTCCATGTGCACTTTGCTATGGTCGTGCTTCTTAATCTTCTCTGACAGGTGCTTCAGGTCTGTCACCCCAATAGCAACCCATGCAGGATCCGTGCCTGCTGACTGAAAAAGCATGCAGGGGAAACAAAAAAGGGCCTTACTCTTCGGACATCCTGTTAGCCATGGTTTGCGCGCATACCACGCTCTTGAAAATGACCGCATATAATTTTTTCCCCTCTCGGTGGTCACTTGCTGGGCAGCGACATCTGGTCAATCCGGACCGAGCTCTTTCAACTTCAATTTTTCCTGCAGGGCTCTCCTCTCAAATGAGACCTGCTTTATCGACAGCATAGAATTCTCTGGTAAATCTTTCTGGTTAGCAGTAGCCATTCTCACGTCCTCTCTCATCAGCAGCCAAGTGCAAAGAGCGAGGGACGGACCGGCTCCGAGTAGAGCTAGATCCGCTAGCTACGTCAGATGTATATTGTAGCTATGCATCAGTTTGTGACCAATCTGGTTATGAATGTGCTTACGCCATGTAAATTTGGGACGCTGAGACGCTGGTCCCTGGCGCCCATTAGGGATTTTTATTATGTGGCTAGGATAAGCTAATTTTTTAATGCAGAACTGTGATCTGAGCATGCGTGAGAGAGCAGAAAGCTTGTGCGCTGGCCCGTAGCGCCCTTAACGCTAATGCACAACTGTGAACTAAGCATGCGTGAGACAACAGACTCTCTGATTCCGCCCCGGCACCGAGTGGAGAGATCGCTAACGGACTAAAATACACATTTAATGGAATGATTAATATAATAGCATGATTTCCTTATTTTGATAATAATTTTCAAGAAAACAGCAGACACCGAGGCTCAGACGGGGCCTCGCCCGCAGCGCCCTTATATACCGACCGCCACTGTTCAGACGGTATCCGCTTCACCCATGGTGGAACCCGTGGTTCACTTCTCATGTGTTCCATGTATACTTGTATACTTGTTCATACAAGTATAAAAAATTCAGGTCTTGATACTTATAAAGACATCATTCAAATAATGTGCCCAAAACGAGAGGTTGCAAGTCTGGTCTCTCTGCATTATCTGTAATTTTTGTAATTTTTGATTTTTTTATATTTTTGTTATCTTTTTGTTGGCTGCTGATGGATACTTCATAGTGGTGGGCAAAACCGTTCATTTCAGTGAACCGGATCATTCCGGGTCGTTCAGTAAAAAGACTTATTCATTTCAGTCATTTCGGTCAATCGGTCGTTAGTCAGTCCGCTGCACTCCCCACTTCCCACCCCCGGTCCAACGCTGCGATCGCGCTGCACTCTTTGTAATATAAAATTGTAGTAGGAATAACAAAATATATAAGGTTTTTAATGGTTTTTATTATTTTGAGGTGCATTAAAAACAATAATAAAAAGTACAAAATGTCAACAGACAGTGCAAATGCGTATTAATAGTTGTCTCTCTGCCTCTGGCTGCAGCAGCAGCTGTGTGCCTTTGTGTGTGTGTGACTGTCCCGCTCGGGCTCAGCTGTCGGCTCGTGCGGCGGCCAGTCAACTCGGACTTTCAGTCAACTCGTTCACCGTCTGGATCTTTCGTTCACTCTGTCTTTCAGTCAACTTGTTCATCCGTCTGGGTCTTTCGTTCACTCGGTCTTTTAGTCAACTCGTTCATCGGTCTGGATCTTTCGTTCACTCGGTCTTTCAGTCAACTCGTTCATCGGTCTGGATCTTTCGTTCACTCAGTCTTTCGGTCAACTCGTTCATCGGTCTGGATCTTTCGTTCACTCGGTCTTTCAGTCAACTCGTTCATCCGTCTGGGCCTTTCGTTCAACTCGGTCTTTCAGTCAACTCAGTCTGTCGTTCATTTAACCCGTTCTTTCAGTCAACTCGGTCATCCCGGTCTTTCAGTCAGCTCAGTAGTACTGCTGCTGCTTCTCTAAGCCCCACCCACGCACAGAACGAGGCGCGACGATAGGATAAGACAGGCAAGCACGGAGATAGTCCCTCTTCAGCCAGTCAAAAGAACTGAACGGACTGAACGGGTCATTTAATGGGGAAGAACTAGTTCATTTCGTTCACCAAACAGAACTAGTTCTTTTGATCCGTTTGTTCAAGACCGACACACCACTTATACTTCAGCTGGGCGAAGAGTGTACTCAAGCGAAGAGCTCCTTTTATTGAGGAAAAGAAAATCTGGAAAACAACATACAATTTCAGAGGACATCAGGAGGTGTTAGCTGGAAGTGTCGCCAGATTAGTGTCGCCAAACTCTCTGTACCCTGAGGAGCAGCCGGGGTTTATCGCCAAAACATGAACAAAAACAGGCACACAGTGAAAGCTCAATCTAAGCCTTTAGTCAAAGTGCTAATTTCATCTGGTAGAAACAGTGAGGAGAAGGCGTGAAGCTAGCGGGCCGTGAAGCTAGCACGACACTGATGGCCGCCACCACAACGTTCCCACTCACCTCTCCACACAGGTGCGATGGCTGCCTTGAGAAATCCCAATCCATAGCACAACTCGAGCGCCGTATCTCCGACCTTCACTGGATCTGGAATGAAGAAAAGCTCTTGGACTCAGTGGTCACGTTGGGCGCCGGTCCACCTGTTAATTCCGAGCTAAACTCCACCATCCCGGTCTGGGATGCTAACTCGCCGGCCGCCTCCGTCTGTCAGCCTTCCCCTGGCCCCGGGGATACTCTGGCCTCAACCGGACCGGCAGCCTCGGGCCCACCACATCTCCAACGCGATGACCGCTGGCTACTGCTGGGTGCAAAGCCGAATTGCGTGCCTGCTGCTGCTCTGGACTTTACACCACACCCAAGGCACAGATTGCGTAGTTCCACCCCGCAGCAGGCGCCCTGGTCCTCCGTTCCAGCGAGGAAGGCCGGCGGGACCAGTCCACAACTCCCCGATGAGCTCCAGCTGTCCAACCGCTACGAGGTCCTGAGCCTGGAGGATTTCCCCCCGCTGACCAGAGAGCCGGCGGCTGTCTCTGAGCGGGCCACTGTTTCCACCGTGGCGGTATCTGGCGGCGCTCCATCCACCGAGGCCCGAGCAGGTGTCTCCTTGCCGGCAACCTCCAACCGCTCTAACTCCCGGGGCTCTTGCGCTCCCTGCCTGGTACAGTCAGCAAAGTTGTTGTCCATGTGGGATCATGCAATGACACTGCTCACAAGCAGTTTGAGCTCTTAAAAATTGATTTTAGAGACCTGCTCAGACTCCTGCGCACCAGGGGGGAAGGCCGTCTTCATCTCCGGCCCAATCCCGACACTGGCCCGGGGAGCAGAGCGGTTCAGCTGTCTGCTCAGCCTCAACACCTGGCTGCTTTCCGCCTGCAGAGACTATGAGGTTGGTTTTATTGAAAATTTTAATCTATTTTGGAATCACTACTCCGCATACAGGCCAGACGGAGTGCACCCAAACAAATTAGGCAGCACCATGCTCGCTGCTAATTTGCAGCACTCAGTGCAATCTTCCACACGTGACTGACTATTGTTTACCCCACACACCCCCTTCCACACCTCTTCACCTTCACCTTCCGCGGCAGTGCCCAGTGCTGCTTCACTCAACACTGCCCCCTATGGACCTACTGTTCACATCCATGACCACACTGTTCAATATCCCATCCCAGTACACATTAGCTCACATCATCACTCCCATCAATACAAGCCCGCCTCTGCAGGTCCACGGCCCCGGGTGGCTCTAAGGGACTGCTCGGGGCCCAGGACTTGCGGCGACAGCGAGGTGCGCTCATCCAGTGGGGTCATTAATTTGGCCATGCTAAACGTGCGCTCTCTTTTAAACAAGACTTTTATCATAAATGACCTGATTATAGACAGCAAACTTGCTCACAGAAACATGGCTTGGTACTGAGGCAGGGGTTTCCCTCTCTGAGGCCTGTCCACCTGATTTTAACTTTTTATTTTCTACCAGGGAAGGCGGGACTGCATCTTTTATGGTAGACATGGTGTTACCCTTAACACATAACTGTCAAGGAGAAGTTGTGTTGTCCAGATATTGAACTGTTGGCAGTTGCTCTTCGGCCATATTATGTTCCAAGAGAATTTAGTCATATCATAACAATAGTTGTTTACATTCCACCCAAATCAACTGAAGAAATTCCGTGCAATGTTTTGCAAAATAGTGTAGCCAGGCTACAGACTCAACACCCTGAGGCACTAGTAATAAAATCAGGACACTTCAACCATGTCACCCTCTCCTCTCACCTGACTGGACTCACACAGTTTGGGAACTGTCCTACCAGAGAAAACAAAACCCTAAATCTGCTGTATGCCAAAGTCAAAGAAGCTTACAGAGCCACTGCCATACCACCACTGGGCAAGTCAGATCATAACTTGGTCTATCTACAAACCTGTTACAGACCTTGTTTACTGAGGCAGCCTGTGAACAAAGTCAAAAACAGAAGATGGACACCTCAAGCCAGTGAAACTCTAAGGGGACTGTTTTAAATCAACAGACTGGTATGTGCTGCTGGAAACAGATGTGGATAGTATGAACATTGATAAACAGATTGACTGCTTTACTGATTATGTCAACTTCTGTAGAGACACAGTTATACCCACAAAGACTGTTCGCTGTTTCCTCAACAACAAACCCTGGATCACAAGAGACCTAAAAGCAATCCTTAACCAGAAAAAGAAAGCTTTTAGAGATGGTGACAAAGAACGACTCAAACAAGTGCAACAAGAGTTGAAGAGGAGACTGAAGATAGCAATGCTGGAGTACAAAAAGAAGATAGAGAAGAATCTACAACACAGCAACATCCATGAAGTGTGGAGAGGAATCAGTACCATCTCTGGACACAGCAATAAAAAGAAAACACAGCCAGTGGTGGGTGATGTGGAAAGAGCTAATGAACTCAACCTGTTCTTCAACAGATTTGACACTGCTGTCACACCCACTTCCACTGCTAGTCCACCTTCCTCTCCACAACAAATCTCTACTACAACTTCTCCCGTTCCTCCTCCATCTTGTTCAAATGTCTCAACCACTTCAACTGCCTCCCTCCTAGAACTCCAGTCCTTGTCTGTCACTGAAACAGGGGTGAGGATGGAGCTTGGAAGACTTTGTCCTGGGAAGGCAGCTGGTCCAGATGGTCTGTGTCCAAGGCTGCTTAGAGACTGCGCTGAACTGTGAACCAATCTGAACCGCTGAACCAATCAGCTTGGAATTGAGCGCAGATGTCGGAGTGACTGGGCCCGCCCCCATTACGCCCACCTATAAATATGCAGATTTATTTAAATAGGGTCTCCCTGTCCTCGCACGCAGACAAAATGACAAGAAAAACTAAATTTACGGTGTGCAAGGTGGAGGAGCGACAGCGTGTTTTGTTTGGCAGCCTGTCCAGTGGCGTCAGTGCAAAACGAAAACGCTTGGAGTGGGAGAAAGTTTGCGAGAGGGTAAACGCGGTGGGTTCCGAGACCCCCGCGGAGATTAAAAAAAAGTGGTCGGACCTCAAGGTGGAAGTCAAGTGGGATACAGCTGCCCTCCGGAGGAGTACCGGCCAGTCAGGTGGGGGTCTGGGGGAGGAGACCCTCACGCCGTTTGAGCAGCGGGTGGTGGCGATTATGGGGGGCGCCTCTGTGGAGGGGATTGTCGCCGCTACCCGCGGCGACTCAGACAGCCTCCCGGAGGGTTAGTGGCATGTCACACAAATGTCCACATGCCATAGATGTAAACGCAACAGATACACAGAAGCAGGAATTGAAATGAACCAATATTTTTATTGTGTCACAGAAATCAATGTGTCGGCCGTGTCGCCGGCTTGCGGAACCTCGGCCCGCGGCAGCCCGTCCGCCGGCTTGGAGTTGTCGGCCAGGACCAGTGGCATTTGGGCCACCCCGGCCCCCGGCCCCAGCACCAGCACCAGCACCAGCGTGCCGACAAGCGGTGGAGCGTCCACCAGCCGCGGCACTTCCGCTGGACCACCCGGACCAGGAAGAAATCATCAGGGGGATTGCGGAGATCAACGAGTGGCTGGACCGGCTCGTAAATGTCCTTGAGTGTCTGGTGGAGAAAATAAATTAATTTGGCTCATTTAACTGTGTATTCACTTCTTACTTATTCACATTGTGGTGATGAGATTCTCCTGCGCGAGGACGGCGGCCCGGCAGGGATCAGCTTGCATCCTCCCCGTCTGCTGCTGGTTCGTCATGTGGGGCGACGTGCTGCTCGGCCACGGGGATGTGGTGCACGTCCACTGTGATGTGTGAACGCTTCTCACATAGTGAGTCACCAAACACCGCCACACAGCGTCGCCAAAGTGCCGTCAACGCAAGTATTGGCTCAACGCCAACTTCTACACCACCTCCTTACTTTGCATGGATTTGCGCTGGAACCGACGCTCGTGTCGCGATGATAAATCTGGACGTGTGCGCCGATCTTGGCGAACGCAAGGTTTTCTGGTGCCGCCAGCGTTGATACATGAGGCCCCAGAACTATCTGACTGTTGGAACATTTAATCTCTGCGAGAGTTAAGCCGAGTCTGAACAAAGTGTTGAGGGTCAGAACAATAAGACATGTCATCAGAACTATCTGTCTGTTGGAACAGTTGTGTGGAGCTAGTTAGACTGGGTGCGGAGCAGCACAAGGCCAGTAGTTGTGTGGAGCTAGCTAGACTGGGTGCTAAGTGGCACAGGCCAGTAGTTGTGTAGAGCTAGCTAGACTGGGTGCTAAGTGGCACAGGCCAGTAGTTGTGTAGAGCTAGTTAGACTGGGTGCCAAGTGGCACAGGCCAGTAGTTGTGTAGCGCTAGTTAGACTGGGTGCGAAGCGGCATAGGCCAGTCGTTTATGGGGAGACCGCTAGACTGGGTGCGAAGGAGCATAGGCCAGTGGTTGTGTGGAGACCGGTCTGCAGAGAGCCTGGCCCGGGCTCTGATGTGTTTCCTGTTTTTTTTTTAGGCTGAATGCCTGGTGATAAGGAGGTTTGGATAATTGTTGAGAAAATAAGGGTAGCGGCGGGCACGAGTGTGCCTGTCCATTGTTGAACTGTGAGTTTTAAGTCAATTTTTTTTATGAGCCCAGAAAGGGGGTAGCCGACGAACGAGCAGAATCATCTTATAATTCATACGTAGATATTTTTTCTGAAAAACTCCACTAGAAATGAGGATTTGTCATGCAGAGTTCCGCTGAAGCTTAAGAAAAAGCCAAAAGGAGAACGAAAGTGACCATTTTCCTCAGAAAAGTCTGATCCAGACTCTAGAGGGCCGAATAATTAGAATGAGTCAGTAATACATATCTGATTATATTTCTTTTGCCGAAAGGCAAAGACCTCACAAAATCAGTGATATAATTGGGCTTAAATTACAGATACAGATTGGCTTGATGAGCAGGAGATAGAAAAAGAGGTCAATAAGGATAGGCTGAAAAGCCTATTCAGGGATCCCAATTGCATAAGCACGTCCCATATCTCCTGACCAATTGTAGAAAAATCTCACAAATTGGAAAAATCAAAACAAGAATCAACAATGAAAACTGAGGACAACACAGGAATTGTAGGAATGTTAAAAAAGTACAAAACACTTGAAATTAGTTTAAAGTAAGAGCAAAGAAGGTGAAGACTGCTGACTGACCAGTGACTGACTTTGACTTAAGACAAACCCGTGTGAAAGGGTATACCATTGTGTGATGAAAAAGTGAAGTGTGTTGGTTGATTGGATGTTTGTGTGTGTCTGTTTTGCTCTGTGTCAACTAAGTTCTCTGGCAGTGTTCACAGCCAGACTCTGCATCTGTGTGTGTGTCATGTTAGTCAAGGATTGATGTGTTTTCCTCACTTGTGTTTAGTTCATAGTTGTTTATGTGATTACTGTGCTCATTGCAGATATGCTATCAGTTGAGACATAGAAGGTTAAATACTCCTAGGAAAGAGGTTCTGTTCCTAGTATCATGATGAAGAGAAGAATAGAATAGAAAATTCCTTTATTGATCGCCCATGGGGGAAATTTTTTTGTCACAGCAGCATCACAGACAAAGAGTGCAGTTATAAGAATAGAGATCCTAATATTAAGAACTTAAATAAATGTTATAATTAAGAAAAAAACGTAGAAAGGTAAAAAGGGAGAAGAAAGTAAAACTATATACAATATACAGAATTTAAATGCCAGAAAAAAAGTGGTGGTGTGAGTCCAGTTTTATTACAGTTCATTGTAAAGTCTAATTGCAGAAGGGAGGAATGACCTGCGGTAGCGCTCCGTCTTGCAAGGTGGGAGTCTCTGTCTGCTGCGGAAGGAGCTGCTTAAGGCCCCTACAGTCTGGTGCAGTGGGTGAGAGGGATTGTCCATGATGGATACAAGCTTTGCTAACATCCTCCTCTCACCCACCTCCTCCAGGGAGTCCAAAGAACAGTCCAGGACAGAACCGGCCCTCCTGACCAGTCTATTCAGTCTCTTCCTGTCCCTCTCGGTGCTCCCTGCCCACCAGCAGAGCACTGCATAGAAATGTGCAGATGCTACCACAGAGTCATAGAAAGTCCTGAGCAGAGTCCTGCACACTCCAAAAGACCTCAGTCTCCTCAGCAGGTGGAGACGACTTTGGCCCTTCTTGTACAGGACGTCTGTGTTGGTTGACAGTCCAGTTTATTGTTGAGGTGGACACCCAGGAATCTGTAGGACTCCACCATCTCGATGTCCAGACCCTGGATGTTCACTGGAACAGTCTGAGGTGTCCTCCTCCTGTGGAAATCCACAA